CAACACTAGAAGTTTAATAAAAATGTTAGCTCTTAAATTTCTGACATGGTCATATATATATATATATATATATATATATATATATATATATATATGCTGTTCGAAATTCTTTTTTTTATCTAGATACAGATCTTGATAGTGAATCTCTTGATGATAGATGTGCAGCTAGTTTGTCCCGGAACTCATGAAGATAATTATATTGCTGAAAAAAGTAAAGATATATTGAAATACATTGTACAAAACTATTGACAGTTACAGAGTAGTCACAATAGTAAGAATCAGGAATCAAAAATGATCGACTAAGAACAATTCTACATCCTTTTGGGTACGGAAGCATTTGTATCATGGGGAAGTTTTATCTTTCAATAAAGATGCATATAGTGTGCAAAACTATTGCTTCAAAAAAAATCGAAGGTAGCGTGAAATACAGATGAGTATTTTATAAATCTGTAAAAATCCTTTTCCCCTTTACTGGCAGGAACAAATAAGAGTAAAAATAGTACATAAAGACATTCTTTTTACTAATGAATGATCCCTTGTGGGGTAAGTAGGGAGGATAAGGCACTTTGGGTAGCAATTAACAGTGGTCTATTCAAGAAAATCTATTTCTTAATTTATAGACGCCCTAGTTTTCTCCTTTTTGTGCTGACATATCCATTGGCATAATTTTCATAGGAGATAATAGTAAAAGTAAAATTTTAACATAAGCAAAATGAAAAACTTTAATTTATTTTGAGTTTTAATAGCTTCTTCGAGGATATTCTTACTGCCAATAATCTCATTTCATCTCATTACTGAGGAGTTGAAACCACGCACTGCAAACTTATATTAGCAGAGAGGAATGTCACAGAATGCGGAAGTAATAAACTGACAGGCCTTATTAATGTGAGCTTAGTTCTCTCCAAGATGAAATGTGTAAAACATGCATAAACATACCTATATACATGTGCTTGATCACGTATTTTGTTTCAAAGACTGAGAACACCTTGAATTTGAAGCATCATTTGATTTTAACATAAGGGAAACTGTTTTCAGAACCTGTGCAGTGACGTTGGATCCTGTATGGATTGGTTTTTGAATGACCTTATTTGAACACTGAGAATCAGGCTGCTTGGTGAGTTATCAGTTATAATCATTGACATTCATGACACTGGGTTAGACCCGAACCCCGGGAAGATGGACTCCAGCTCAGGGAGCTGCCTAAGGCCAGGATTCTTTAGTGCCCGATCCTGATTTCTAAAGCTGAGGCTGGGAGCTTGGGAAAGGAGGGCAAGTTAGCTTTAGAGAGCTACAAATAAAGTGAAATCTGTGGAATCTTTCCATTAACATGATTAATATATATTAATGTCCTTGGGCATTGCTACTGCAGTACGTTTGAAGGGTTAAGGGGGAAGTAAACGAGGGAGATGTCACCTTTGATTATCCACAGGGAAGGATAATTAGCATTGCTTTACGCTTTTTGTATTATAGTCAGTCATCTTAATATTAAGTGTTTTGGTGATGTAATGGGATCTTTGTTAGATCCTTTTGGACAAAAATCTACCCAAGATACTACCATGTTTACAATAACCATCTCATTTTTCCAAGTGGGAGGATCTACTCCAGAACCAAATGGACAAAAACAGTCATAGATCCTGGAGGGGTAAACTGGGAAGCTCAAACTATCTGGATGAATTTGAATTAGGGGCCTTGCCCATGATAAGAGATGATCAGAGGTAACCTACCTATATGCCAGGGCAAACTACTGATTACTGAGCACGTGCCCTCCCTGCAACGACCTTCCGAAGCCCCAAGCTGCCTTTCTTCACCCCTGGCTCAGAATGTCTTATATGCCCATTCTCCCTTTCTGCCGCTGCACCTCTGGTGCATACGGGATTCCCATGCGCATGAAATTAAATTTGATATTCCCTTGTCAGTCTGTCTCATGTTGATTTGATTATTCAACCAGCCAAAAGGAACCAGAGGAGGGAAGTGGAGATTTTTCCCTCCCTATAATGAGGACTTACACTGTATTTGTATCAATCTGCCCCGTAACCTCACCCCACGAGAATAGTCAGCCTCCTCACCTTTACGGTCTGTATTGCTCCAGATCCTCTGAGGTCTCTCAGGCTGTCTATGGCTTGCTGTGGTGACACGGTGTCAGACAGATACAATAGGAGACAAGCGGCTACTAACAGAACATGATAGAAAAATTGGATATTATTAAATACATGATAGGGTAGAGCATCTTATATTTAATTAGACTTAATGTTGGTACAGAAGACTGAATTTAGTGTAACTGAAATGAATTAAAAGACTGAGGCCTTAGTATGTGTTTTTGACAGTTAAATTATGATTTTAAATGACTGGTTGGATTAAAGTTTTAACACTGGCTTCATTTTTTTTAAACATAGCTTTATTGAGTTATAATTCATGTACACAGAATTCATTTGAAGTATACAATTCAGTGGATTTTAGTGTATTTAGGGTATTCAGCCATCACCACACAGTCCATTGTACATTTTCATCACCTCAAAAAGAAACCCTGTACCCTTTTGCTATCATCCCCCAGCACCCCGTCACCCTGCTCTAAGCAACCAATAATCTACTTTCTGTCTCTATAGATTTGCCTCTGCTAGACATTTCACATAAATGGAATCGTATGTGGTCTTTGGTGACTGGCTTCTTCCACTTAGCGTAATGTTTTCAAGAGTCATCCATATCGTGGCATGTATCAGTACTTCATTCCTTTTTATGGATGAATAATACACCATTGTATGGATGTACATTTTGTTCATCTATTTGTCAACTGATGAACATTTAGATTGTTTCATTTTTTTGGGTATTATGAATAGTGCTGCTATAAATGTTCATGTACAAGTTTTTGTGTGGACATATGTTTTTTTTTTTATTTTGGGTATATACCTAGGAGTGGAATTGCTGGCTCATATGGTAACTCTATGTTTAACTGTTTGAGGATGTACTACCAGACTATTTTTCCAAAGCAGCTGCACCATTTTACATTCCCACCAGCAATATATGAAGGTTTCAATTTCTCCACATCCTCTCAAATGCTTGTTTTCCACCTTTTGCATAACAGTTATCCTAATGGATACTAAGTGGTATCACATTTGTGGCTTTGTTTTGCATTTCCCTGATGACTAATGATGTTGAGCATCTTTTCATGTGCTTGTTGGTCATTTTATATATTTGTTTGGAGAAATATCTATTCATATCATTTGCCCATTTAAAAAAATTGGGTTGTCTTTGTTATTGAGTTGTAAGAATTCTTTATACATTTTAGGTGAGTTCCTTATCAGATACATAGTTTGCAAATATTTTTTGCATTCTGTGGCTTGTCTTTTGATTCTGATAGTCTTTCTTTGAAACACAAAAGTTTTTAATTTCCATACTATCCAATACTAAAAGGAGTAACTGTTATTCCAGTGTGGCATTTCATTAACTTGTGTTTTCCCTAACACATTTTCTAAAAGTTTAAAGTTAACATATGGTAATTAACTTTGGTTTTCATACTTATGTTACCCGCGGATATTATGTAGAAGCTACTTTCAGTACCATAACATGTGCATGGGGAAAACATTAGAAAACAAAACAAAACACAAGAATGCAGGTGCTAAGACTTGTAAATTGTTTTGCAGAATCCTCCAAAACAATGCTGAAAACACCTCCCACTTCCACCCAAGCTTCCTTGGAACACCAAATTTAGGGCCTTAAATAATCCTTTGGGTCTTAGCGGACTTACTGTGTTTTGTTTCATTTTCATACAGTGAGTGTATGGATAAGAAACAGGAGTTTGCCTACTTTGAAGTTAAAAAGAAAACAAAACAAAACTGAATAACGAAAATATATTTCTTACCAAGACAAGATCTCCCAACTCCTCCGTAACAGCTGAAAGGGAAGTACAGTTTTGAAATGTGTACATTTTCACTCCATCCCAACAATTAAAGACTTGTTCTTTATGCTTTCTATTTCTCACTCTTAATACCTAGCACAGTGCCTTGCATACTGAGATTAATAAGTATTTTTTAATTAATCAAGAGCAAAATGTGCTTATTTATTTATTAAATATTCTGACACCTCTAAGGATCAAGGTAGGCAGGGCCGTTTTAGTGACTTCTTTAAACTCCAGGATCCACATCTGAGCAGCGGACTATGTTACTAAGTAGATAGAAATCAGACTCTTTTACTAACTGCCACTTGGATTATTTTCCTCTGTCTGAACAAAACCTTAGTGGGTATGTAACAAGTGCTGTCTGTATAGTAACTCTTCATTTATCTAAAGAGTACAGAGGTAACATATCCTAGAAGTTTAAAGCACGGACTCTGGAGCCCCACTGCCGGCTGAATCTTGGATCTGTTATTAGATGTGTGAACCTAAGGAAGTTATTTAGTTTTTCTGCGTCTCAGCCTCTTCACCTATAAAATGGTGACAGCAATAGTACCTAGAACATAGTGAGGACTGAATGAGGTAACATTTGTAAAGGGCTTAGAACAGAGCTTAGCACAGAGTAAGAAGCAAATGAATGTTAGCATTGTGAAGATATTAGCAGTTCTGCATAACTGAGTTTTCCAGAAAAATGAAGATTAACCCTGAAAGCAACAAAACCATTCATTGTAATCATTTTCAAAGATCCTAAAAAATGTCATGCACTTGCTAGCTTTCTCAGAGGATATACTGAACCTAACGGTGCTGACGACTTGACACAAACATCGGTTACTGTAGTGGGCTGTAGATGAAGCTGTAGATACAGGTTTTGTGATAGGGTTTGAGACAGGACCAAACAACTACTGACCTCTAGATTCATGAACTTGCTTTCTACCTAGTGTCCCAGATGTAGGCCTGTTTCAGAGATGAGGCTCTACATTAGGGAGGGGGCGGAGGAGGGGGAGATGGCACTGCAGTGGCTTTGTGCAAAATTACTTCTTTATACCTCTTGCTACCTTTATTTTTCCTACTCTGTCTGATTGATTCCTACTCATCCTTCAAAATCCAGCTCAAATTTCATTCGCTGAAATGCCTTTGTGCCCCCACAGAAGCCATCGTTGTCCTGTGTGCTGCCTCTTACACGTCCTGTAGGAGTATTGCACTTATGGGGTAGCGTTGTTAGAGGGTGGGCCTGTGCCCCACTGTGTGTGTCTTTTCTTCAGTTTGGGACACAGTAGGTATTAACGGGTTGAATTGTGTCCCCAAAAAGATAATGTTGAAGTCCTAATCCTGGTACTGTGAATGTGACCTGATTTGGAAATAGGGTCTTTGCAGATGTAATCAAGTTAAGATGAGGTCATTAGGGTGGGCCCTAATCTAATAAGACGGGTGTCCTTATAAGAGGAAATACCACATGAAGACACAAACACGGGAGAATCATGTTTCGACAGAAGCAGAGACTTGAATGATGCAGCTACAAGCCAAGGACACCAAGGATCTACTGCCACCACCAGGAGCTGGGGACAGGCAAGGAAGTATTCAGTCTAGAGTTTCAGAGCAAGTGTGGCTGTTGGTTTTGATTTTGAGTTCCTAGCTTCCAGAACTGGGAGAGGATACATTTCTGTTGTTTTATGCTACCCAGTTTGTGGTACTTTGTTACAACAGCCCTAGGAAATGGTATAAAATAGCAGGTAAGCACTGTTCACTGATTTTTATAAAGGAGTGAAAATGTCCAGGGATATCCGGTGAGAGATGGCACTGGTAGACAACAAGACAGTGAAAATAATTTACCAGGCCCTGTTTCTGAGAAACTCTAGAGCTGTCTAGAAGTGTGGGCACTCAAAGATGGCAGAATGAATGGCCAATTGTCTTTGTCCAAACAGTAGTCACCGTAGCACATGTTTGAAAGCTCTAGGACAATGAAAATTTCCAGTCATCAGATGCTATATTTTGTGGGAGCCTGAAGCATTTAACATTTGCAAGGCCGCACATCCATCCTTCCATCCTGTTTGTCTTCTCTTCAAACATCAGAGTATTTGGTTTGCTTGAACCAGCTGGAGTAGAATCTGTTAAGCGTCACTAATCTGAGCTGGTTTGATGTCTGGAATCTTTCCAGTAGAAGCTGATTTCAAAGATTGAAAAGGAAAAACCTCAGAATTGGTTTGAAAAATGGGTTAAAAAATTGGAAAATATTTTTCACTAGCTACATCTAATTATATGTATTTTACTTAAAATTAGAAAATTTAGTAGACAACAATTTATTCTAAAATTTGGCTTTTACAATTAGTAAAGCAGTTAATAATTGCTTACAGTGAGAGATTGTGCTTTTTTTCTAGAGAAAGTTTGGAAACTGTAGACTGTAGAATGGCTTCGAGTTCTTTATTCCCTACTCTGTAGTTCTGTGTATATCAGAGTTGAGTTTGGCCACAAACAGGTGTGTGTCCTCAAAGACCCTTGAGCTGGTTGGTTTGCCTTCAGAGCAGGAGCTATTGGCATGAGGCCCCTGGGCTCTAGGTCGAAGGAGAGAAGTCGGCCAGGCTTGCCCTTCCCTTACGCGCCCTGAGACCACGTGGTTATTTGGGATAGTTGTGTACTTTCTAGTTCAACGCAATGACTTCAGAGACTTCCGGGCTTTTGAGATATCAACTTACTTTGTACTGTACCTTGTTCCAGAAAGGAGTAAGCAGCTTGTTAGGATACAAAAAGTACAATTAGCCCAGAGAAGGACTAGTTTGCTACCTGTACTGGCCCTCTGCTCTGTATCTTACCTCTGGCAGAGCATCTATTGTTCTTATCCACAGCACCATTTCTCATCTTTGCATTGCTACCATCTGCTGCTGGTTGTTACTCTTCTTTTCTCCAAGCTACATTTTTCTTCTCTCATTTATTTTCTTAATCCATTTTATTTTGTTTTAAACTTCCCTATCAGCAGCTTCTGTATCGCCATTGAATGAGTCCTTCTTTCATTCTGGTAGCAAATTCATATCATCAAATGTAATTTTCAAGTCATATTTTTAAGATTTCTCATTACTCAGGGATGATTTCTTCACTGCTAATTTTGAAAAAATTGACTTTCTTGTTGGAAGCAACTGAAAGGCTGACCAGTATGTAAGGTTAACATGAGAAAAATGCTCCACCATTTTTGGGGAGGGGGTGTCCCCAAATTATAACTAAAAGTCTATAAGACAAAAGGAAAGAAGGAAAAGCCTGTAATCCTAGTCTAAAAATTTCTAAATCTACTCATTTATTGTCCTTACTTTCCAAAAGTAGTAACAAGAAATATCTGAATGCCATCTCTGTACCAGGCATCGTACTAGTACTTTTCATGTATTCTTTTTCATCCTTGCAACAAACTATAAGGTAAGAAATAGCTAAATAAGGATGTAATAATTTGAGAAATCATTCTGACTGGGACATTTCTCATGTAATGTATGGAGAAAAGGAGAACTTACTGTATTAAGGTTTTTCGATTATTTTTAAGGCAAATTGCAAGCTCCTCCATTATTTCATAGCAGCTGGCTATGTCAGGAGTTCCTCCATCTGGGATTGGATAATGGTGAGTGATAATTCCATACTGCTGGTAGAGGTTCAGAAGGTTTGGGACTCTATATTTTGACAGTTCCCCTCTGGTGCAGAAAACAAATATGTCTTGTATACCATAGCTCTTTAGTTCTTCTGCCAATAGACCAAGATACACAGACATACATGTACAAAACATTACAAATTTAAATATGGTCAAGAGGAAGAATATGGAGTTAAATTTCTTAAGCTAAACTAAGTAAATCACAAATGATAATCTATACATTTGGAGTGTTTATTGATAATCTAAAAAAATATTGATCTGTCTTCAAACTAGGGTAAAAATCAACTCACTAAGCACAAAATAGGATTTAGAAACATCTGAACTGAAAGGTGATTAAAATTAAACCTGACTTTATAACTCAAAATGCTTTATACTGAATTTTAAGATGAATCAATTATATTGCTGTTCTTGAAAAAGAATGTTTACAATGCTGCTTTAAAATAAATTTAAAAACATTTAATATTTCAAAATAAATTATTGAGAAGGGATATCACTTTTTTTTCCTGTTTTCTTCTCACAAATGCAACCATATTTGCTACTTTCATCACTCTTTTGTTTTGTTGTACCCTAAGCATTGGTATATAACATTTCCAGCATGGCCATGGTGCCAGAGCTCTTGTATTCTCCCTTATATTTGTTACCGTACCACACCATCGTGTATTTAATTTATGTACTAAGTCTCTAGGAAAACAATAACTGTATTAGAATTATTCAACTTAGCTACTTTCACTAATGAATATGAACCGTACGTAGGCCATTCTGTACACCAGAACTTTCTCATGGCAATATTCATTACAGAGTATTTGGTCCATAATGACTAATTCTGGTTGATCTGAGCGTCCTCTCCCTTTCCGCCTCCTAAATCCAAGGACATTTAGCTATTTAAGTACAAAGTACCTTTGATCATGAACCACTAGATGTGCACTTGAAATGTGGCTAGTCCAAATTGAGATGTTTTCTAAGTGTAAAATACATATCTGATTTCAAAGATGAAGTACAAAAAAACTACCTCATTAGTAATTTGTTTTCTAATCAAAACCCATTAAAATAATACTCTTTAGGCTATATTAGGTTAAATAAAAAATATTAGTTTCACCTGTTTTTACTTTTTTAATGCGGCAACTAGAAAATGTAAAGTTACACATATGGCTTCTATTACTGCTCCCATTCTATTTCTATTGGACAGTGTTCTAAATAATACTATTATATTTTTGTATTCCTAAAAGGACTTGACCTGTTGTTAACATATGTAACCATTTTGAAGAGCAAGCAATTTTCTGTTTGTTTTTTGAACACATTGAATAATTTCTATTATACAGTGGTTTTCAAACTTCCTTAGAAAGTTCTCTGAGGAGGAACCACAGGAACCACTGCAGGGTGATTCCATGTCTCCTCCATCAAACATTGTCACCTGTTTTATATATTGGGTTCCATTTAAGATTTCATTAGAAAATAAAAGGTTTGGTAAAATATTGGAAACCCCTTTCATAGGAGGTGCTAAATGAACAGGGCTTTCCAAAATGAGCAAGATTGGTTCTTAAACCAATCATGTGCATTAGCTTTTGTGTATGACTTAAATGTTCTTTCTCCACATGGAAATTTCCTACCATGGTGGGTGTCCCTAAATAACAAAATCTTTACAAACACTGCAAGGGTCAACTCATCTATTAGCCTCTTTAAGTCTTTGTTGATAGGTACGGAATACATTAGAGAAAGTACATCAGCAAATTGATATTCTAAAACAACCAGGAAAAAAATTTTAAGATTTAAAAAATCTATATCGGTCAGAGTCAAGCAATTTATACATTTTTCTTTTGATGTCTTATACGGACATTGGTAGATCTATTAGCCTTGAGATATTCCAGGCGAACCAGAATAAGATACTTGAAAATTCAAGTTTGTTAGTATCATGCAATATGTAAATTCCAAATTGGGACAGATTATCAGAATATTTGCGGCATTATTAGACTTGAGGCTATAGTGGTATGAGCACCCTTGGGCATGAGAAGATCAGGCAGCACTCATCTTCCCCACCTAGATGCTTGCTCTCTCAGTTTACTCTCCAGGATGGACAATTTCACTATCACCTCTGGATTCCCAGCTCAGGCTTAATTTCTGCTACCACAGTCAAGTCTGTAAAGAATAGCATGTTCAAAGATCTGGGGAGTCCAATGTCTATTTACAAGTTTTCTATTTACATACTTTTCTCTCTACAACTTATACTTTCTAAACTCATAGGCAGCTTCTATATGTATTATAACTACAACAATCAGCAAAAAGCAGCACCATGTTTAGTAAATGATGAGTTCTCTGTGCCCGTCACAAATAACCTCTTCAAATATTAGAACAAGTCTACAGTTTGAAATTGTACAAAATAGCAAACATTTTTTTGGTTAATTAATATGGTTGTTTCATATTATACCTACCTGTATCTTTTTGGATATTTCTTCTAATATCTTTAAACTTACAACCTATAAATAGTAATAAGAAAAGTGAAAAAGACAGTTTTAGGTCATATAGAACAAGTATATTTAAACACATATAGAGCTACTTTAGAGAGTCATTCCACATGATCATTTATATGATTGAATTCCATTTTGAATGTGAATTTCAATTTCTTATCGTCTTAGGAATAGAATCCAGGGATTTATAAATCCCAGTTGAAGGAACTCCTAATCCAAGGATTTTTAAATTTTGTGTCCTTTCCCTAATAAGTACCTGGCTATAGTCCTCAGCCTCACATTGTACCCCAGTGTTTATATTTTATTAAGACAGGTAAATTGGAAATGTGGAACTGTGAATGTGGATTTGGGAGGCTTGAAGAGTCGATCGAAGTTCCGTTTATCTATGACCCACCATGATGGCTTCCAAAAGTGAGTTCCCCATGCTGATGGTCTATGAAATTCTCTTATTGCTCAGTACAGAGAATGATGTGTAAGCTGACAAAAAACCCCCAAAACAACAACAACAACAAACCTTTAAATATATTAATAAGAAGCCAACTATAGTGTTACCCACCTGGTAGAGCACATAAACCAAGAAACTGAGAACAATTCACTCGTGACAGGGGTAGCCTGAAAAGAATAAAACTTTATCAATTTTAGTTCAGTTTTTAAAAGGTTATAAATGGAAATTCAATTTAACAAATGTCTGTGCTTACTACTGAACATGGGTGTTTTAAAGTTTTATAGTAGTCACAAAACAAAGATTCATAGTTAAATATCAATGTGTTGGTTACAAAAAGGCCTATAAAAGACTGGAAGTTTTGAAACAGACATATTTGCTTTGTTACAATTTAAGTATTAAAAGTGGCAGGTTAATTTAAATTTACCTCGAAGATAATAATGCCTAGATTGCCTACAGCTAGTATAAAGTGTACTTAAGTTACCCTGTGGCGTGTTACCTGAGGAATTTTGTCTCAGTAACCTTAGGAAATGAGCTGGAAAAATGACCATATGACAATTTCATCCCAAGCTTTCATTCTGCATTACTATTTTAAGATCTCTTTGTAGGACTTCCTTAAATAGATATAATTTCATATGATAAAAACCACAGACCACCCATTCTTTGTTGTAATGGATTTGAGTAAAAATGAAATAATTTCAAGAAATCATATTCCCAGTTTTCAGCACTCAGGGATAAAGCAGGCAGAGGCTCACCTTGTCTGCAAAACAGAGGATGAGTTTAGAGGAAAACAGGGCAACATAAAAATACCACCTGAATTTGAAAATTAGATGAGTTTTGAGTTTAAAAGGGGGTTTAGAAAGGGCAATGACAGATAATCGCTATTTAATGGCAGAACAAAAATCTTTAGGAACAACACTTACACTTTTTCTCTTCCCATAGTAGGGAATGGTGCTTTCTTAGAGAGATTATTATATTTACAGGGATGAGAGAAAGCATTTGATTGTCGGTTGTAAAGAATCTCATGTAACCAACCATAAATCACTGCCAAGATTTGGAGGTTGATTTTATATAGAAACATTTGTTTTTGTTATTGTATCTATGGTATGTGGCTTTTAAACACTGTCTGCTGATAGAAGCATTACTGTGGCAAGTAGTTCTAAGATTTGACTAAAAGAGAAATGATTAAATATCTCATCCTATGTTTGATACACCATTCTTTTGTCATAAAAGAATAAATAGGTTTTGGTACTAAATGGGAAATCATTCCATTTATACCTCAACTCCTTACTTACTTGTTTCTACTATAGTTTTTTCAATGTATAAAGAAGGACCCATCCTCCAAAAAGCCTAATTCTATCATAGATAGTAAATAAATCATGGAGTTAGACAATCTTACTTTAAGATTAGAATTATATAATCAATGGAAGAAAATCATTAAATATTTTCAATATGTGGACTGCATTCTACAAAGATATCAGAAATGTTAACATACCATGATATCTGAATTGGAGTCTGTTCATCAATAGGCTCTTCATCTGATGAGTCAAACTCACTTGTTTGCAATGAACCAGGCTTCAAAAGAAATCAGTTATGTTAAATAACTGTAAAGAAGAATATTTACATATAATCTAAGTATAGCTGATCTTTGCTTAAACACACACTGAATGCATATTTGCAATTTATTCAATCTGGAATATCAGAGACAGTGGCAATATCAATAATAAATTATTGCTATTTACCACCCTATTAATATATATAGCACAATATGGTGGAAAGGGAGTTGGATTAGAAATCCAGAAACCTGGCTTCTGGTCTTGGCTCTGCCACCTAACTATATAATCATGGACAAGCGATGGCAGTTTATTATGGATCTCAGTTATATACAACTATAAAGTGAGGAGGTTTATTCATTCACAAACATGTCTTGGACACCTTCATTTGTCAAGTTTTGAGAGTGAAGATGCATAAAATAAATAGCGTACCTTCAGTATAGCTGGAGACACAGATGTGTGCACAGATTACAGGAGAAAAGTTATGCTAAAATGGAAGCATAATCTATGCATTTCAGAGCAGAAAAGGATGACTAAGGATGCTAGAGGAAGCTTTACAGAGAAGATGCATTCACCGGGTTTTGAAGGAGGTTTTAGGTAGATAAGGAAGAAGTTAAGGCAATTAAGGCAAAATGACAAAGGGCTTCTACATTTGGGAACTGTGTTAGAGCAGAAATGAAGCTAGAGATGTCGTTTTACCTACCACAGTTCTCAGAAAATGACCCCCATTCAGCCTAATATGGGGGGAGGGAGGGAGTGTAAGTGGAATAACCTGGCCCCAACTTTGTGTCATTGGATTGGAGAGATTGAGATGGACTTTGTGTGCTGATCTAAGGAGTTGGAACTCAATCCTGTAGCCATAATGGAAGTCTACATGGAAGACTGTTGAAGTTTTTTATTTAAAAAAAACACACCTTTCTTCAACTCCCTAGTTGGAACCAACTGAAAGATAAGACACCAGAGAGGCAAATGGAGATCAATATGTTAGTTTTATTAGTGAGTATCAAATGGAGGATGTGGCTTTAAAGCTGTGGTCAGGTGGGCTTGTCAATTCTTCACTGGAGAATTGGCTTTATCCACAGAGGCAGCCAATGACAACCCAGGGCTCCAGTGTGGCAGAGAGCACTCCAGAAAGTACTCTCTGTAGAGTGACGGGGAAAAAAGGGTGGAGCTATTTGTGTTCAGCTCCTCCCAAACTTGAGGATCAGATCACTCACTTTTCCCCTTCTGAGGACCAATGGAGAAAGACCAGGAAGGAAAAACAAATGCTGTCCTTCCACATGATAACATCGAGATGAGTTAATTGTAACCACCTAATGTCCTTTCTAGCTCTGAAGCTGTATTCTATAATAGTCTTGTTTATTTTTTCAAGATCATATTACAGAGCCAAATTAGGCTATGGATTTGAGTTGCTTTGGATCTATCTGTATTATTATTATTAACTCACTTAAATGAAGGCCCTTCAATAAGGTTGTCAACCTTGGTGATGGGTGATATGAGTCAGGTAGGGCTTCAGGTCCTTGCATCTGTTTTTTCTTTTTCTCTTTCTCTTTAAAGCAGTTTTGATGATTTGAGATTTTCAATTTGTGTGGCCCACTCACTCAGGCTGTCTCAGCCAGGTTTACAAACCCTAACAGTTCGACGTTTCCGCTCCCCCAGGCTCAGGGATTCTGAACCCCAGGGAAAGGCACACAGTGCCAGGTGGCTCTGGGGGGTGGTGACAGTGGTGACAACACCTATAAGCGGGGGTTGGCAATCGTCTTTCATGAAATTTTCCTCGTCCATGGTGAGGACTCCTCCCCAGGGTCCATTGGACAGCCCTGGACAACCTTTGAGGCTGTGGCATCAGGCATACTGATAAACACCAAAACACTTAAACTCTCTATGCCTCAGACTCCTCTGTAAAACGGGGCTCAGCCCTCTCTGGCAGGGCTGTCGTGAGGCTTAGGAGACCCCGCCCACAACAGGCGCACAGCAAATGTCCATCTTCCCTTCGTCCGCCACCGACCCCGTTTTTTCGCAACCATCGCTCTCTCCAGTCTTAGGAAGCGCCACCTCCCCCTAGCCAAGAGCGTTGTTGCGAGAGTCACTTCGCGACCAAGCTCGGCCTGACCCCGGGCCCAAGAACTGGCTTTAGGACCTCTCGCGTCCCTGAAGCTTCGCTCCTCCAAGCCTCGACCCAACTCACCGGCTTCATCGCTGGTTTCCCCACGTCGCGACCGGCCACCACCTCCCTGGGGCAGCACCCGCGTCTCAGCAGCCCCGCGCCGAGCCCGTCCCTCTGCTCAGCTCATTGGCACATCCTTCTCTGAGGTGGGGCGCGGCGTCCTCTAGGAACCAATCACACTCTCTCCTCGTTTCGTACTCCGCCCCGGGATGCCCTGGCTCGGCCTGTAACCGCTCATTGGTTCCTAGGTGGCCTTTGAAAGACGCGCGGGATGATGGCCCTGTTGAATTTTGATTGGTTGGGAGGGCGTCTTACTCACGCCAGTTGGAATCGTGGAGGGGGCGGGGAGCGGGGCGGAGCGAAAGCTTCTAAAGGCAGCCCCAGCGCTTTGGAGATGCTGTAAAATAGTGCTTCCTCTTGGCAGGATTTTTAAGTGGCATCAGGGTAGGGAATTTTGTCTGTTTTCTTGAAAAAGAAATTTTGTTTTGAGGGCATGGGTGGGGGCATGTAGGAGCACTGTCTTGGAGCATCTTATAAAAGAAAACACACCACATCCCATAGACTTTATAATTATGGCCATATCTAGTCATACAAATACTATGGAAATGACTAAAAGTCTAGAATATAAATCTACCTTGTATGTTTGATAGTTTATGTTCTTTGCCATTCCAGGATCTAGACAGGTTAAGGTGTAGGTCAACCTTCCTGTTCATTAAATATGAATGAAATAATATTGTATGAAGGGAAGATAAAAAGTGCCCAGATGGTTCCAAGTACCAGTGTTTCTTATATAATTGGCTATAATCTTTAAAATATGTGTTTGATTATTTTCTCCTCCATTCTCCAGTCCCCATTTTGCTGGCCATGGGGAAGGAAGTCACTTGAAGCAATATTACCTGCAGATCTGACAAAAGTATGCAGAAGTTTCAGCTCCCTGATTCACATTGTGAAAAACAGTGGGTATAGGACTATTATTAGGAAGAATTCCTTGGTGAAGAAGATAGCACAGTTTGACTTAGAGACTATTAGTCAGGGTTCTCCAGAGAAACAGAACCAACAGGATAGATACCTAAAGAGATTTATTTTAAGGAATTGGCTCCCCACAATTGTGGAGGCTTGGTGAGTCCAAAATCCTATGAGGGAGGCTGGAGGGCTTAAGACTCAGGAAAGAGTTTCAGTGGGAGTTCAAAGGCAGTCTGGGGTAGAACTATGACTGGTTGGTATTGCATATGAAGTCCAAAGGCTGTCTGATGCAAAATGCACTCTTGTCTTTTTGTCCGATTCAGGCCTTCAACTGATTGGATGAGGCTTAGCCACATTGTAGAGGGGAGTCAGCTTTACTCAAAGTCCACCGATTTAGATATTAGTCCCATCCAAAAACTCCCTCAGAGAAACATCCAGAATAATGTTTGACAAAATATCTGGGCACCATAGCCCAGCCAAATTGTCACATAAAATTAGCCATAAGAGACACACTGGACTCAATTCATCCATTCATTCAACAAATATTTATCGAGCACCATCTGTGTCCTAGGTACTATTCAAAGTGCTTGGAATACTGGAATGAACTAAACAAAGTCCCTGCCTTTATGGAGCTCACATGCTATTGGGGAAGATACTCAGGTAGTGATTTGTGCTGGGAAGAAAAACAAGTGAAGCCTGATGAGGATGCTATTCTAGACAGAAAAGTCCAGGAAGACATCTTTGAGGAGATGTCATTTGAGAAACACCCGAATGAAGAGAGTGAGCCATTTGAATAGTTTAGGGGAAGAGCTTTCAATCTGTCTGAAGAGTAAGGAGGTGCAAAGGCCCTGAGATGGGAATGTACTAGGTATGTTCATGGAACCTCAAGGAGACCAGTGTGGGAGAAGCTGATTGAGAGGTGGAGGTGGTAGGAAATGAAGCAGTGCCTTGTGGGGGTGCTTAAGAGCTTCTTTTCTGAAGGACTCAAGAGTTCCAAAGAAAGATTAAGACCTGGGCTCTAGCTGAGATAATTCATATCTCTGTATGACACAGGGGAACAAGTCTTCTCTGAGTGGGCTTCAGGATGTTGATACTCCCTCACTTCCTAAGTTTTGCCTTCTTGCCACTTCTCCCAATGTTGTCTCCACAGACCTCTTTAATCTTCAGCATCAGGTATCCCTTCCATTTCCTCAGGACATAACATCCCCTCGGAATTAATGAAAACTCAGCCCCTGTATTCTGCAAATTCTGCCACCCCTGGCCTCGGCTGAATGTGAATGAACACAGTCTCAATCCGTTCTAGCTCCTGCTGTTTCTGCAAAGAGGAGAGGATGAGCTCCCCTGGTAGGAAGGGGGTGGAAGGCTAGGGTAAACTCCAGTATTTCAATTCCTGTTTGTTCCCTCCACCAGCAGGGCTGTGTCCAGGCTTTCTTTTTAACCAAAGACAAACACATCTCACCTCTGTGATGTAGGTGTTTTTGTTGTGTTGTGTTTGTTTTATGTTTTTGTCTAGTTCAGGGGTTGGCAAACTTTGGCCCATGGACCAAATCCCACAGGCCTGTTTTTGTAAAGTTTTATTGGAATACAACAACACTCACGTGTTTAAGTATTGTCTACAGCTGCTTCTGTGCTATAACGGTAGAGTTGAGTAGTTGCAATGGGACCATATGGTCTGCAAAGCCTAAAATATTTACTGTCTGGCGTTTTACAGAAAACATTTGTGCACCCCTCATACATAGTCAATGAGAGAAATGTATATATCTTTTAATAGCATGACTTGAAGTCTACTTCTTGAAAAGTAAGACTCCCAGCTTTACTATGCTAAAACGTTTTCCTCTGCTTGGCTTGGTCTCTTCATTATGGAAAGTTCTACAATACATAAACTGCCAAAGCTTCTGGCTGAGACATCTGGTTAAATGGCATGTAGTAAATTGGTTTCTCTCTAATCCCCAAGATTCTCCCCTGAGAGGAGGAGTGGGAGCTTAAGTTCAACCTGCCACACCTGTAGTCTTCAGTTAATTGTTTGGTGTGTGAATCATGGCTGTTAACAGAAATGTATGTAGTCAAACAATGTGGAAGATTCATCCAAACTACCAGACAGAAAAGTGTTAACACATGTTCATAGACAGATGAGTATTTTGAGAGAAGCTCAAAGAGAAATGAAACATGATTGCCATCAGTAGTTGCTCTTGACCTATGTTTTACAACTAGATCTATATTTTAAAAATATTTTAATATTAATACTAATGGACTTGACATGTATGTTAGGGAGAGAACACTGGAATCTTAGAGTTAAATGCAGTTCGGAGAGAATGTACTTCCTCATTCTTGACAAGTTTAAGAATTTCTCTTGTAATGACCATCGGATACAGTATAGGATATTTGCAGTGGACATGTGCTATTTTCCCATTGTTTCTCTCTTTGGTGAATTCCCCCTTTCCCATTTCGTGTGGTCTTGTTGGGCATGTGACTGAGACCCACCCATACATGTACCTATTCCTTTGGTGACACTTATTAGTCCAGGGAATGCGTGTGATCCAAACTGGAGCATACTTCCTGGTCTTGTCTGCTTTGGTTGCTGGTGCTCTTATTTCCTTCTTTACCTGCCTAAGATTTCTGCTTTACCCCAGAATGATGCTGAGTGCTAATTTGCCATGGAAGACTGGAGTTGATTGTAAAATTTATTTAAATTATTACTTAAAATTTAAAATGGCGTTGCATTTTATAACTGGAAAAGGTTGTATTTTCTATAACAATTTCACTCCTCCCACATGCTCTTCTGCAATGTGACTTTGCCATGCTCCATCACAAGGTGGAGCATAATACTTCTCTTCAATATGGGCGGGACTCACTGACTAGCTTGATGCAGGAGAAGAGACGAATGATAAGAATGTAGCAGAAGTGACAAATGATAAGCTTGATACAATTTCATACCATGTAACCAGCACCCAGATCAAGAAATGGAACATTACCAGCCCTTAGAAGCCTCTTTTGTGTCCCCATTTGCTACCCCGCCCCAAGGTGACCTTCGTTTGGACTTCTGAAACTATTGCTTAATTTTGCTTGTTTGTGAATTGTATATAAAAGGAATCTTTTGCGTTTGGTTTCTTTAGCTCAGCTTTATGTTTGTGAGATTCATTCACGTTGTTGTGTGTAGTTGTGTTTGTTCATTCTCATGGCAGCATTCTATTGTTGGAATATACTATACATTATTCCAATCTGCTGTTGATAGACATTGGGTAGTTTCCAGTGTTGGGCTGTTATGAATAGTGCTGCTATAAACATTCTTGTCCATGTCTTTTGGTAAACATATGTATACATTGCTGTCAGGTATATACTAGGAGTAGTAGTGCATATGTTCATTCTTAGTAGATACTGCCAAACTGTCTTCCAAAGAGGTTATAGCAATTCACGCTCCCACTGACACAGTGTTAGAATTCTAGCTCAACATCTTTGCCAGCATTTGAGATTGCCTGACTCTTTCATTTTAGCCATTCAGTGAGTAAGTCATTTTATTTCAAAGTAGCATCTAATTTCAAATTGTTAAAGGCTAACACTAATCAGTTGGATATCAGAGAGAATCAGTAGATGCCATTCTTTAAGAGGTAGAAGCAGTTTATAATTTTTAAGAATTTTTGGAAAATGTTTCTATATTATGTGTTAATTACCATATGTAAATATTTTTCTGCATTGTTTTATAAATGCAAGTATCATTGAATGTATATATTTGGAGGGCTCAAGCCTTCTTTAGATAATAAAACTACTGCTATGTACTGAGTGGCCCGAAATAGAGAAGTTTCCCAAACTTAGACAACATCAATAAGAACGTCACACTGTGATGGAAGAAATATTACTTGAATTTCCCAGTCATCACCAGCTTGGCGCTAAAATTAAAGTAAAAATAACCAGACTTTATGGAATAATATTTCACTGATTCTTCCTCTGTCCACTCTGTGAAACAGCAGCGCCTCTCTATTCCTTATGATAGTTCAGTGGGTCCTCACAGATGACCAAGATACAAGAGAAAGGCGCCCACTGTCCTTGGCTCTCCAGCTCTCACTTGCTGGGGATAATGTCTCGGATCGCTGCCCAAGCCTGGCAGTAGCGATGCTGACTACCCACTGACTTCCCACCCAACTGCTGTGCCAACTGCACCTTCTCTGTTGCTGCTGAGATTG